ATTGTTTGGTAAATATAATTATTTGATAAATTAGACTTTGTTTGAGGCGGTTTTAAAGTAGTGGTCAAAAGTTGTTCCAAATGAAACCTCAGTTGTCAAATTATTATAAAAAATAAAATTCTAGATTTTTATTAATATTATTATTTTTATTCTTTTTGAAGACGTATGATAGATTTCTTATATTTAGCATACATGTTTTATTGTGAAAAACTACTCATAGAAAAATAATAAGAAATTGCAATAAAGTTGTAGTTAAATCAGAAATATAATAGCAATTGATAAAAATGAAAACATGATGGAGCTTATCTTAGGGTATCTTGGGCATAGCTCTATTACTGTTGCGTCTTGGAATATTTGAGGAGGTAGAGAAATATAAAGTTTAATGTCTTAACTTTGCATGAAGATCCAACACACAAACATGTAAAAAAGTAGGGTGCATCATGCATAAGTGAAATCATAATTTTTATGTGAAAATCCAAAAAAAGGGAGAAATCACAATAATTCCCTTGATCATAAAGTGCTTATTGAGCATGTAAGTAAGTGCCTTAATGATGTCAGAATTCGGCGATCTCAGGCTTGTTGGATTAGTATCGTCAATGTCATATTTAGATTTCATTTGATCATCGAATTAATGTGTTGAAGCTTCCAAGAGAGTTTTGGTCCTTTTATTTAGGAGCATTTGAGCTCGAATTGAATGGAATTTAGTGTCATTGAGTTCGTCTTCTCGAGAGGTTCAATTTGATTATAAACTTGCTAAAATTAGAATTTGGATGATCCAAGATTAGAAGTTTCCAACTTGGGTGCATTGTGTAAAAGAAAATCCTCCTTCAGTTTGTTAGAATCACAAAATTTTCTTGGGGGAGTTACAGATAAGTTCCATCTTTCTGGGTTCTATGTCAATGATTTAATGACATTTACGAAGAAAAAAATGCATTTAATTCTGTCAAGTCTACTTGAGCACTCATAAATAGCGTCCAGCGATGCTAATGTTCTTCTGCAGGTGCAGTGTGCAGTGCAAGCAGAATCTAATCATTTAATATCTTTTCCTGATGATGACTGCCTCCATCTTCACAATAAACAAATTAAAAGGTCCAAGATTTGAGTTCATATGTATGCGTTGTGTGTGTGAATTTGTCTTAAAAAACTTAAATGTCCAAAAAAAATAAAAAATTTAAAAAAATATTTAAATTAAACAAATTAAAATATTAAATTAAAAAATAATTGTTCATCATAAATATTAAATTATTAATTTTTTTTAAAAATAGATTATTCAACATTATTATGATATGTTAAATTTTTTTTAAATTGATATAATATATAATTAATTATTAAATTTAATATATAAAAAAAAATACTCAATAGGAGTGTCAATTTCGGGTCACGGGTCGGGTTCGGTAGAACCCGAAAACTGACCCGACACTATTCGGGTCAACCCGAACCCGAACCGTTTTTGAGAACGGGTCAGTTTTCCTGACACGAACCCGACACGCTTCCGTCCGGGTCAACCCAACACGACCGAATGACCCTTTTCCAACAAAAAATTACTAAGTATCTTTTTTTCGGGTCAAAAAACGGATCAAAATCGGGTTGTCGGGTCAAAATCGGGTTTTTTGGTCAAAATCGTGTCAATTTTGGGTCAAAGGGTTAACCCGAACTCAACCCGATTTTTGAAATGAGTCGAAATAAACACGAACCCAACCCGTTTCGGGTTCGGGTTAACCCTAACTCGAAATTTTCGGGTCGGATTCGAGTCAAATTTTTGGGTCGTGTCAAATATTGACACCTCAACTAGTCTTATATGTTTATTGAATACTAATAAATAAATGAATATAATATAATATTATTTAAAATTTTCCTTATAATGGTGGTTTGGAAAAGCCGAATAGGTATCATAACCAAATCCTCATCTTTATTTGCTATGATGTCAACTTGTACCAAATGCTAAATTAATTATTATTATTAATTTGATAATTTTATTAAATTATTTTGAAATGAAACATTATAAAATTAATTGATTAACTAATCTGATAACTTTTCTTTAATAAACCTTAACATCTGGGCTCCACCTAATTGCCGTCTTAGGTTTAATTCACGTTGTCATTAGCGAATTGATTTATTATTATCTTATCAATAACTTCAGACATTGAAGAAGAATTAGGTTAATTAATGTTATTAATCAGTGAGATTAATCTAATTAAGCTGAGCTGGATCTATGTGTTGGATCTAAGATCGGTGCAATTAGGATGTTTGGAATACAGTTAAGGTCATATTTGATGGTGTTTTTCTTCAATTTTTTTTATTTAAATTTGATTTCTCAAAATTAATTTAATCGAATGTTTCAAAATAGTAAATTGAAAATTATTGAATAAAAATTGTGTTTGCATATAAATTATATTAGAATACACTTAAAAAATTATTATTATTTATTTAAAATTAGTGTAATGGAGATTTTCATAAGAAATATTAATTTTAAAGTTACTTTTTAAAATTATATTTATGTTATTGATATATCATCACAAAATTATCTTTACCGGGCATGAATCTCGAGACAAAATCAAGTGGGAAAAAACTTCAAAAATTAAATTTGGGATTATCTGAACTCTAATTTCGACAAACTTACGGTCGAACTGAACGTCTCGAAAATATGAACCTAATAACACCAAATTTGACCCAATCTGAGCTCAAATGAGTCTAAATGAATGACCCAAAGCGCATTTGGAAGGTTCAATCCATAATTTGGATTATCAAATAGTTTTCAAATGTGACATGCTTATAGTCGAATCGAGCAGCTCAACGAGACGAATCCAATGAGCCCAAGATCGTCAAATTCTAATATCATTAAGACATTCAAATGTCTAGTAAATGATCTATGTCAAGGGAATTAACATTGGTCGTCCGTTCAAACCACTCCCAAATTACCCTTTATCTTCCTCCTATTTACTGGCCATGACACTCTTAAAAAAACTATAAATATATCCCTCATTTCTCATGAGAGGGACCCAAGCAAGCATGGAATGAAGAGAAGGAAGAAGAAAAACTTGAGTTCTTTTGCCACCAGATTCCTCCTCGACCACCGCCGACTTCCACCCAACATTCGATCGATGCCGGACTTCTGCCAGACCGTCGACTGACATCGGAGTTCTGATCAACTTCCGACTAATGCCGGACTTAATTCCTCCAGACTGTCAATTAATTAAAGCCTGATTTTCACCCGACCACTACATATATTCAGATTTCCGCTCTTCACTTGTAATTGGATTTCAACCCGACGGTTGATTATTGTAATCTGATTGTCCTTAATTTCAGTTACGAGTCTATCACTTGTAATCCAATCAAACAATGGTGAAATCATTTCAGTTGTGCATGATCTAGTGATTTTTTCCTTTTTCAGGATTTTCCACGTAAAAATTATGGTGTTCATTTTTTTATTACGTTTGTTTGTTGGATATCCATACAACGCTGAGATGAAAATTTCTAACTCTATCGCGGCATATATTCTAGCCCGCAACAATTATGATACTCAACTGTAATTTTTATTAAAAAATTAACATGAGAATATTTTTATTATGTTAATTGATGATAAATATATGACATTATGAACTATTTCAAATACTAAATTAATATTTTCCAAATTATTATTAAATACAAAAATTTCATTAAAAACACTAATTTTAAAGCGACTTCTTAAAATTCTATAATATATATAATCGGATATAATTTATATAAAGGTAGTGAAATATTTATTTTGTTCAATACTTTTTAAATATAAAATATAAAAATGTTTTTTTATCATATTAAATGATGATAAATATAACAAGTCATGCCCCAAATTATTATTAAATATCAATTGGAAGAGTGGAGAGAGAAAGCAAATGTGTAAGAAATTTTTAATTTTATATTTCAATTTTAAAAAAGAAATTAAATTGCTAAGAATTTATTAGAATATTCTTATATAATTTTTATTCATTAATTTACAAGTAGAAAAATAAAAATTAGGTAAATAATTTTTAATTCTAAAAATAGTTCCATTGCCGGGATTTGAACCCGGGTCGTCTGGGTGAAAGCCAGATATCCTAACCGGACTAGACGACAATGGAATTTTGTATGATTTAGCTATAAAATTTATAAATATCTTATTATTTGTATCCTACTGAGTTACTTACCGCGCCACCAATCGTAACTGTACTAGACTGCTAGCATTCGTGTGAGAGCAGAGAGGGAGAGAGAGAGCCACTACAGCACATTCTCTCTCTCTTCCTCATTCCCCCCTTCGATTTGAGGCGATCTGTAATTCTCTTCCACAACATCTGTTTCTTTACAAATGTTCTCCTCCTTCTCAGTAACTTCCTCTCCGTGTCTTTAGTTCCCCACCTACCCAACTGAACCTACTTGTCCATGTTCCAGTAGGGAATGTAACCACCACCAGCAAATTAAAAAAGCCATCTTGATTATTCTTTTACTCCTACTCCTACTACTTCAATTATCTCTTCATTTTTTCTCTCTCTGATTTTCTTCCTTTCCCTTCTGCCCACTCTTATCTTCCTACAGTTGCTTGATTTACTTCCTTTCTTGAAAAAGTTTTGATCTTTTTTTAAACTCAATTCGTCTCCTTTCCTAATGTAGAATCCCGGGATCGCAATTGTATCTAGGTTTTTTTTTTGGAGATTTATTTATTTTATTGGGGTTGTTTTGCATTGCACAGCTGAATGTTTGGTGGATGGTAGTAAGATTTATCTGCTTTGGGGTTGCAGCGAGTCTTTAGATTTTTCCTATTTCTATTCTGATTGATTTCCAGCTCTTTTGATTCTTTGGAGATTGGTTTTGGTTTGGCTTATTTAGGGAGAATTGCAATCAAGCTACTGTTCATTGTACCATATATCTTTACAAGTCTTTTGGTTTTAGCGCTTGGTTCTTATCCTATATTTGTTACTTTTTCAAGCTGTTTTTAAGTTAGGTCTTCCTCCATGTAAATGGAATTCAGAAGCTAAGCCATGAACGTCACAAAAGATTAAATTTTGTATGCCTACTGCATTCAAGATACAGTTTTGACTGAGAAATGCAGCTTTTTTTTCTTTTTGTTTTGCTGTGGGTTGGGCTTGTTCAAGGCAATTCAGTCAATTCAGATATAGAAGCACTGTTGGAGTTTAAGAAGGGGATAAGTAAAGACCCTATGGGTCTTGTTCTAGACTCTTGGGATCGTTTTACATCAGCGTCTGAGGCTTGCCCTCTTACCTGGTATGGTATCCAGTGCAAGGGAAATCGAGTCGCCTCGATCTCATTAAGAAATATCAGTCTTGTAGGAAATATCAGTTTCTCTTCCCTTGCTCAACTGGATATGCTTCACAATTTGTCTCTTGCAAATAATCAATTGACAGGAATTCTTACTCCTGATTTGGGAGCTCTTAGTTCTTTAGAATTTTTAGATCTCTCTAGCAATTCATTTCATGGGCAAATACCTGACAAGTTCATGGACTTGAGCAATCTTATCCATCTGAATCTGTCTTGGAATAGTTTTGAGGTTGTATTTCCATCTGGTTTCAATAAGTTACAGAAGTTGAAGTATCTAGATTTGCAGGCAAATGGTTTGTTTGGTGATGTGGGGAGTGTTATTGGTCAACTACAAAGTGCTGTTTATGTTGATCTCAGCCAGAATAAGTTCACTGGAGCACTTACTTCAATGGCCGATAACTCGAACATTACTGGTTCTTTGCAGTACTTAAACATTAGTCACAATGTTTTATCAGGAGAGTTATTTGGAAAGGATCTAGTGCCTTTGTTTGACAGTTTGGAGGTTTTTGACTCCAGTTTTAACAAGCTCAGTGGCCAGGTTCCTTCCTTCAATTTTATAGCTTCCCTTAAGACTCTTTGCCTCGGAAACAATCAGTTTTCTGGACCTTTTCCTGAGGCCCTGTTCAAGGGGTTTTCCATGGTTTTGGCTGAGCTTGATTTGAGCTGCAATAATCTCACAGGTACTTGAAAATTCTCTTAATAGCCCGCTTGCCATCTTTTTCATCCTTACTTGGTTACATCTCTTATACAATATATCTTACCATGCTTTCTGATCTTTCAAACTCTTTTGTATATATTTTAACTAAAAGTTGCTTAATTTATATGTTGTCTTGATGCAGGTCCATTGCTGAGTATAACATCCACTACTCTGAAGAAACTAAATCTTTCCTCAAACAATCTTAGTGGCTCTCTGCCTTCCAAGATAGGGAGCTGTGCAATTGTAGATTTGAGCGATAATTTATTTTCAGGAGATGTTTCTGCAATTAGAAGTTGGGGAAACTATGTAGAGACTATAGATCTAAGTTCAAATAAATTGGAAGGAACTTTACTGAATGAAACATCTCAGTTTTTGAGGTTGAAATCTCTGAGGCTTTCTAACAATTTTTTAGAAGGAGAACTTCCACTTGTGATAGGCACATATCCCGATATAAGCGCCATTGATTTGAGTCTCAACAAGCTCAACGGTCCACTTCCTCCAAGCCTATTTTCATCAGTAAGATTGACGAATCTGAATCTTTCATTCAATAGATTCACTGGACCTATCTTTCCAGACAAATTGAACACAGAATCAGTTTCTCCTGATGCTCCCTTGCTCCCATATCTAAATTCTAGTCTTGTTTCTGTCGATCTTTCTAACAACTTATTAAGTGGGTCTCTACCTCGAGAAATGATTTCCATGAGCCATCTGCAATTGCTGAATATATCAAGGAATAATATTTCTGGACAGATTCCAAAAGATATGGGGATACTTCAGAGCTTACTGTATATAGATTTCTCTCATAACCAATTTGAAGGAACCTTACCTGATAATCTTCCTGATGGCCTTTTGGGATTCAATGTTTCATATAATAATCTTTCTGGTAATGTTCCCAATAACTTGTTAAGGTTTCCTGAATCCTCATTTCGGCCGGGGAACTCCTTTCTGAATTTACCTCCCAAATTTCCAATTATTGCAAGTATCAATGAAAAGGAAAAGCATCGCCATCACATGAGAAATGTGATAATTTATGGGTTTATTGCTGGAGCTTTTGTTTGTGCTATTATTGTTCTCTTGTTCATACTCATATATCAGAAGCTATCTCAAGGAAATGATAGGAGGGTTACTCATCAGTGGAAATCCTCCATTAAATGCATTTTTAAACCACAGAAGAGTACTGTGCTGCCTCCAACTTCTTCAAGCTTTTCTCAAAATCGTTTATTTCAATCGAGATCTTTGTCTGCTCAAGCTGAGCAAGGAAGAATCTCTTCTGCAAGTTGTAGAAAAGGTGTAGAACCTGTGATGCAAGAGCAATATAATGTTAGTGAGCTCTCACAAAGGAGTAACACAAGTACTACTGTGTCACAGTTCATAACTTCACCTTCTTCCTCCATTCACCAAACTTCATTACAGCAAGCTCCAATCCTAAATGTTCTTTCTCCGGATAGGCTCTCTGGTGATTTGCATCTCTTCGACAACTTGGTTGTATTTACCGTTGAAGAACTTTCTCGAGCCCCAGCAGAAATTATTGGTAGAAGCTGCCATGGAACATCTTATAAGGCGACTCTCGACAAAGGTCATGTGGTGGCTGTTAAATGGCTGAAGGAAGGTATTGTGAAAAGCAAGAAGGAATTTTCCCGAGAGGCGAAAAAGCTTGGGAGCATTAGGCATCCCAATCTGGTTTCTTTAAAGGGTTATTATTGGGGTCCAAAAGAACATGAGAGGCTTTTAATATCAGATGGTATTGAAGCATTGTCTCTAACAGTTCATCTTTGTGGTAGGCTTTGTTCTATTCTATTCTATTCTATTTTTTTTTTGGTGTGTGCATCTGTTATGTTTCTTATGTCTTCTGTTATTCTTTGCTTCTTTCTGCTTTTGGAAGTTTATTTCAAGAGTTTTTTGTGCATCAAGTTTAGATTTTTGATTGTGAAAATACATCATTTATATGCATCCATGTCTGCTACTTGTGATATACTTGTACTGCACACAATAACTTAACTAGGGGTGTCAATATTTGACACAACCCGAAAATACGACTCGAACCTGAACCGAAAATTCCGGATTAGGGTCAACCCGGACCCGAAATGGGTCCTATTCGGGTTCAACAATCCGACCCGTTTCAAAAATTTGGTCCGGTTCGGGTTGATCCATTGACCCGAAATTGACCCAAAAATCCGTTTTTGACCCGAAAAACCATTTTGACTCATTTTTTTTACCCGAAAAGCGGAGATGGTCCCGGGTCATTCGGGTCGTGTCAGGTAGTCGGGTCCAAAAAACCAACCCGTTTGCAAAAACGGGTCTGGTTCGGGTTGACCTGAATAATGCCGAGTCAGCATTCGGTTCGACCCAAACACGACCAGTGACCCGAAATTGTCACCCCTAACTTAACACACCATAAGTCTTCTTTATGACATGCTAGAGCATAAATGGGGCCATGAATGCTTGAGTTTCCAGTTCTGATATCATTTAAGCTCTGGTAATGAAGAGCCTAAGAGCTTGAGTGTTCGTTTGAGACGGTGATGTGAAACAATCCATGCGAAAATGACTTGCTTAAGAAAGTTTGCACTTGTAAATTTTAGAGAGCAATGTTAAGCAAAATCCTCTATTGATGTAAACGATGAGATAACATTAAGGTGATAAAATAGCTTAGGTCTAAACCAGACGGCTTTACTGCTGTTGCAAAAGCTGTTTTAAGAAGCAATAAAAAAGCTGCCCCTACATGGATGCACATAAATTCAGTTTATGCACTATAGTATGAAATAATGTATAGAAAGAAAAAAATAGGAAAGTGGCACAGCAAAACATCATTTCTGGTCTTATCTTTAGCTAGTTTGCTTTGAACTTAATAGGCATTAATGAATTATCATTTTTCATTAATTCTCTGTTGAGTGTTATTGATTATCATATTCAAAGTGTATGAGCATCCTAACTTCATCATCTCTGACATAACTAACAATCATCTTTGCAGAGTTTGAACAGCGAAAGCTCGATCCCCTCTCTCTGAGCCATCGACTTACGATTTCAGCCGACGTTGCTCGATGCCTCGACCACCTCCACAATGAGAAATCCATCCCTCATGGAAATCTCAAATCCACCAACATCCTCATACAACATCCAAACATGAATGCTGTTCTCACTGATTACAGCCTCCACCGGATCATGACGCCTTCCGGCATGGCCGAGCAGGTCCTGAACGCCGGCGCTCTCGGTTACCGGCCTCCGGAGTTCGCCAGCACCACCAAGCCTTGTCCTTCGCTGAAGAGTGATGTGTATGCCTTTGGCGTCGTTCTGCTTGAGCTCATAACTGGTAGAAATGCCGGTGAGATTGTTTCTGGGAATCCTGGTGGTGTGGATTTAACAGACTGGGTAAGATCATTGGCCATAAGTAATTGTTCTTACGAATGTTTTGATAGGAATATCGTTGCAGAAACAGAAGGAAATGAGGCCATTTTCAGAGCACTGGAAGAACTGTTAGGAGTGGCTCTCAGGTGTATTAGATCTGCTGATGAAAGACCTGAGATTAGAACTGTTTTTGAAGAACTATCTTCAATGTTGCTATAGCTTTCTTAGAGAACTGTTCTAACATCATTGTTTAGTTCCACCTCCCAATTATTTTTTATTTTTTATTTTAAAGTTTAGGGAGTGCAAAATAAGATTTATTAATGTCATGATTTGAGTATATTTTTTTTGTGTTCTTTGTATAATTTTCTCATTTTTAGATTAATTATATATTATATTTATTTTAAAATAAATTTAATTATTAAAAATTTATCATAATTAAATTTGAGTAAGAATATCTTTTCATAAAGATCTTCAATCATTTTTTTCTAAATTTATTTTTTAAGTAAATATTGAAGCTTATAATATAACAATTTGATCGGTTTGCGGCAAATTTTTGAAAAGGATCACCATTTAAAATTTAGTTAGCATGAGGAATGTAACTAAGAATAAATTTTAAAAGGATTAAAAATGTAAAAAAAAAAAAAATTTGCGAAAACAAAAAAATTTCTTTATTTTTTTTTGAAAAAACCACTAAAGAATATTCTTAAAAATTTTAATATTTATATACAGATTAATACTGCATATGACATCAAGGTACAACATTAATCTTCCTAAATCTAAAGATTTAAATCTATAAATATTAAAACTCGTCAAAATATTCTTAAAATAATTTATTTCTCATTATTCTTTGAAAAATTTATGTTAGGATATTCCGAGAAAAAATTTGTTTTAATCGCTCTTTAAGGCAGTTTTTTAATATAAAAATTAAAATTTTTTTAAAAAAAATTATTTTTAGAAGCGGCAATAATACTTTCCCAAATGGAACCTAAGTTTCAAATATATTTTGAAATAAATGTAATCCATTTATATTATATTTATTTTAAAATTAAAATTTATTTTATTTAAAATTTAATGATATATTTTTTCTTTAAAAATAAGATGAAAAAGTAAAAAACAGAAAAATTGCCTCCAAGAAATACTGAAATAGAAGTTATATTGCTCTTTATTTAGTTGTGGGGAGAAAGAATGGCGAGGGTTTTAGTAGAAGCCTCGACGATCTTCTTCTTCTTCTTCACAGACGATGCTCTTGCGGAGGTTCTGTGCCTCCTCTCTCTCTCGAACTCAATACAACCATCTTCTTTCGAAATTTACTCGAAACCCTTGCCCAAGGTTGTCGTTTGACAGAAATTGGCTTCGCTTCTCGAAGCGGAGGGAGAGCTTCGGATCGCCTCTCATGGCTTCCTCTTCCGGCTTCGACGAAGTGCGGAGGAGAGATTACGTTCCTTTGCCTCCTGCTTCGGCCGATAAGGTTTGCAACTGAACTCTCTGATTGGAACTCCCCTAAACCCTCTCTCCCTTTTTTTTTTTGGGAAGAATGTGGGAGTTTGTTACGCGAATAAGAAAAAAAATCTGCTTGATGTTTGTTTATTGTGAATGTATTCATTTGTTGCTTAATAAAGGATAATAATGATTTTGTTGCTTATTTAGTGTGTTTTCTATATGTTTGTAGCAATTTTCTTCTTTACTATGCACTTGTAAAATAATGTAAGTTATTTGAGACAAATAAAATAGTATGCTGCTTGATTTAGTTCATTTGCATTCTTTTATCTGCGCGTTTCTTGGCTATATGGAGGACAAAAAAATAAAGAATATAATAGTGGTTCGGTGAAAAAAATGGCATAGAAAGAATTATGTGATCTTGAGTTTTGTGTGCTGTATTCCAAGTTGCATTGGCATTAAACAGGACAATGAGAAAGGATCAAAAACAAGTTTTTTATGTTTGACATTTTTCATGATGTGCTTATTTGATTTGTATTTAGCTAGATCATGGCTTTAAGTGTTGTTGGCTTCAGCCCAATTTTAAAGATTTCAGTTTGATTCAATTTTTTCCATTGAAACCAATCTGCAATTTATTAATATTTTCAGTTTTGATTAGTTTTGGAAGTTGCTGTCAAAATTAAGAATTTTTCTTGAATTATAAACCAAGTTGTATGAAGATACAACTGAAAATGCTAGGTTATTTTTACAGATATATTAAGTTTGTTTTGATGTATCTGTTGTTTGGATTTGCTAGCTGGAATTCTGTACAGGACTTTAGCCTCAGGTTTTAATTTCTTCTAATATGCCTTAAGAGGGTTCCATTTAGTTCACCTAATCATGCATTTCCGCAATAGTGTAGTTGAATGTTATTTACATTTTAATTTAACAACCATGGTATCTTTGCTTTTCCCTTCATTGAAGAAAAATCCTAATTTATTATTTCTGATCAATCTGAAACTTGTCCAGGTCAATAGTTAAACATGAACGATTTGATGATAGTTTTTCTACTAATATGTTACCTTTCATCCCATGCAAACACTATCTGTTGAATTTGCGATATCTTAGTTCTTCCTTATCCTTTTACTTTTGAATGGTATTCATTATTATGCTACTTTGATTCCATGAGTTTAAATTTGTTCAGCATTTATTTATTTTTTAATGATTGGCATATTTATCATTGACTTCCTGAATCAACTAAACACTTCACTAAACTAATATAATTGTTTCTTGACAATTTTATTCTCTCATTTTAAAGTAATAAGGAACAAGTTTATTTAGTTTTGAATTTTTTGAATTTCATACTTTTGTAAGATTAGATGGTTTGGTCACATAAAACGGTGGCTTCCGAAAGTAGATGTTTTGGATTTGGCTTATGTTAAGAAAGGTAGAGGTAGACCTAAGTAGGCTTTGTTAGAAAATATTAGAAATGATCTTTCTTTTCCTTTCTTTTTTAGATTTAAATGAGAATTTGACTCTTAAGAGAGCACAATGGAGAAAAAGATTCATGTAGCCGGCCCCACGTTGTGGGATAAAGGCTTGATGTTGTTGTTTGTTGTTTATACTTTTGTAAGGTTATTGAAATCTTAGGTAATCTCTTTACAGGTTGAATTGTTGAAAGGGCTTGAAGCAACATTAGGTTCACCTTTCAGTTCCGATCCTTTGTCACCACCTGCAAATCCCATGATAATTGTAATCAGTGGTCCTAGTGGTGTAGGCAAGGATGCAGTTATAAAGGTAACATAGTATTTATTTGTTGATCAAGTCATTTGCATTAAGTCCTTCACTAAGGTTACTATTTTACTTGCTTGCATTTCACATACATCAATGGTGAAATATGCAGCTACTTTATTTAATTATTGATGCTTGTACTTTTTTTTCTAAACCTTATTGAAACACTGCTAAGAAGTCTAGTCATCTCTCAAATTCTGTAAAGAAGATGATTTTTCTCATTGTTTTTAATTGTGGCATTTACATCGACTCATACAAGGCATTATTTCATTGAGTCAACCTCTAATTCATTGTAAGATGTTCAGTCAACTCACTAAAGATAATTTGTATAAACTGCATAATTCTTTGAAGGATTAAAAAAACAAAGTGATACTGCGATAGTCTTATATAAACTCTCTATCATGCATAGTTGTTGGAGAATTTACAACAACAACAACTACTACAACAAAATCATGCCTTTGTCCCACTACGTGGGTTCTGCTACATGAACAACAACACTGTCGTTGTCAGGTCTCAAGTCCTGGATGAGAAAAGTTGAGAGTTGCGTTAGATAGTCGACAATCAGCGTAAAACTTGTCGAATAATCATGATATGAATCCTTTAAAAAATTGCAGGAGAATTTAAGGATAAAAATTTATGTATTATACATAACTAGATAATTCTTTATTAACTTTGTTCCCAACCCAACCACTGCATAATTCTTTGGATGATGATGCTTGTATTGTTGTATTTGTTAATTATTTTTTTGGCCTAAGATTGGTGAAATATTTTATCCTACATAATCCATACTGGTTGATTATTGCTTTGCAGAGGCTGCAAGAGGTTCGCGAGGGAATTCATTTCGTAGTGACAGCAACAAGCAGGGCACGACGGCCCGGCGAAATTAATGGCAAAGATTACTACTTTGTTTCAAAGGAAGAGTTCCTTTCTATGATTGAAAAAAATGAACTTTTGGAGTATGCTCTTGTTTATGGAGAGTACAAGGGAATACCAAAACAGCAGGTATATTTTGCCTCTTTTGTTTTTTGGTTTTGTGGAATTATGTAATATACTCCATACTATTCTTTGCATTTGCTTGCTTCTCCAATACCCTAAAAACACACAATCTTTGGTCTTTTTTGCCCCATCTGGAACTCTAGATCAGGGATTTCATGGCCAAAGGCTACGACATTGTTCTGCGAGTCGACGTCCAGGGCGCGGCCACCCTGAGGTCGATACTGGGCAATTCTGCAATCTTTGTCTTTCTGGTCGCCGAGAGCGAGGAAGTTTTGGTGAGGAGACTTGTCGATCGGAAGACCGAAACAAGTGACATGCTTCTTGTGAGAATTGCCACAGCTAGAGAAGAGGTGAAGTGCATGAGAGATTTTGACTATGTAGTCGTCAATGCTGAGGGAAAGCTTGATGCAGCAGTGAAGCTTGTCGAGTCCATTATTGATGCAGAGAAAGCTAGAGTGAGGCAGCGATGTGTGAGGCTGTAGATACAGGATATTGATTTGCTCACATGACTTAACCAAATTTTGTGTTTTGTTATAGCTACAGGAGATGGATTTTACTTCAATGATAGTTAGGTCTCATTTCCAAACCCTAAATTTTTATCTAATTACTGTTGTTTTTTGAATGTACAATTGAAAAACTATATTTGAAGTGTTCTTCAAATAAAGGAAAAAAAAGGAAATTGATTTTAATTTTTTTTAAATTAGTGTAATTTAACATGAAAGTTAGATTGATTAGTTATTAATGATGTTTATTTTTTTAAAAAATATTTAATGACGTTGTATTAATTAATTTTCAGGTAAAATATCCTGTATGAAAATTGTCCCTTGAAAAAACTTTAGGTTTTAGGCTACTGCTCTTAGTTGTTAAGTGGTTGAACATTTGGATTTCAATTATAAATTTTCTGAAAGAACATGTATATGGTTCTGTAAGATATATATATATATATAATTTCTAAATTTATTTATTTATATATATTTTAATCACTTAAATATATTAAATATTTGAAGATACAGTTCATTTTAAACAAATAAATATTTATTATATTTTTGATGTGTATAAAAAATATGTATTGAAATATTATATATATAAATTGTCCCATTTTTTATATTTATTAAAATAACAAATTATGAAAATTTTTTATTTATAGTTAAAAATTTATCAATAACGAATAATTGAAATTAAGTATAAAAAAAATTAAAACTTAGTATAGCGATTGATTTATTTGATCTAATCAAACTTTCAAATCATTCATTTTTTTTCGAAATTACAGCAAAATAAACAAATAGCTTATTAAATAATTATACCATCCTTCTACCTTCATTTTTCAATTTCCCATCTAACTATTAAAATTCATTTTTTTATTAAATTTCTAACAGAGATTATATGCATAAAATTTCTCAAAAAATATTGAAAGATCAAACTCACTGCAGCATGTTCCAGCTTATGAATAAGTACACTTAAGATCCTGCTAATATGCTAAAATTCAATACTACAGGAAACCCTAAACAACACTATAGTTGCAAATCCCTTCTCTCAAAAATCAATTGCTGCTCCATACATAATCTATAAAGCCGATAATATTTCCTTCTGGATTTTCAGAACTTAGACCTGGTTAGTCTGTGCTAAGGGATTGATCGCCTGAAAAAGCACTTCCAGCAGAAGCAGCTGAGCCGGTCTGAGAAGCGGTTGGACCTCTGCTTTTCTGTATTTGTCTGATCCTAAACATATCCCGGGGGAGAGGCCTGCTCTGTACAGTTGTGACTTCATCATCCTCTTGTCCTGATTGTTCATCAAATGGTTAATAAATCAAATAATTAAATAAATAAATGCATTAGTGACAATGAATCAGATGATAATCCGAGTTAAAAGAGCTGGATGTATTGAAATATGGACTAAATGCGATACGAAAGCTGTCCCAAACGCTCGTCCCCATTCGCTAAATCAATGGAATAAAATATTCTCTAATTTGATTTCTTAGTTGCCTTCTAGCATTATTTATTCATAGAAAAAAATTTCAAAATTACGAAGAAAAAAAAAAAAAAAAGCAGCCGATACCATGATGTATTCAGATATAGGCTTCATTTGGGATGACTTTCTTACTGCTTCTTAAAACAACTTTCTACTAGAAAGCTGCTTTAAGAAGCAGTAAGAACTTTTTGTACTAAAAAGTTGCTTTAAGAAGCAATAAGAAAGCTGTCCCAAACAAATCCATAAAAATGAGCATATAGCACATGAAAATACAGGATTGCACATCAAATTAATGAGATAGGGAGAGCATACTGTCAATATCTTTTCTTATTCCAGAATGTCCTTCTCTAGGATATCTACGTGATGAACCATTAGGATTCAACCTTGTTTTGCTGGATCCTGACAGATCGCTAGTGCTGGGAACAGCAAAAGAAACAGCTTGGTGGTTGGAATATGTTTTTCCAGTAGTTCCAGCAGGTGTGCTATATTGCAACAAGATAGATAATACAACATCCACATCAGGGTAAGGTCCTGCATTCATTAAAAGATAACTATGGGAATTATCAGAAAAAAACAGGACAATACAACTCGAGTGCCTATGTAAAGACAGACTAACTGATAAAACTGCATACAATAACTGCAGTGTAAAAGTTCAACGAGGTCAACAAAAATTCCATGACTGCCATGAAATGAATAAAGTAGAGAGGTTCATACATGACTAGAGGCGCTACAAGAAAAATTCAAAATAAAACTGGAATTAAAAAAAAATCCAAGATACGTAATTATGAATTGGAGACTCATAAAAAATATGCAGGATGTGTAAGGCATATTCCAGAGGACGACTCTTCTGTAATCTTTAATTGTTCGGCAATAAGAAACAAATGGAGGGTTTTTGAAAATTTTCGAAGTTTTTGTTCTTAGTTTGGAAGCTTTAGTTCAATTTATGATCCTTGGAAAAGTAAACAGATGCAGGCAGATTATTATGGCTTTGTTTGGAAGAGCGTTTCAATTGTTTTCATGGTAAGAAAAATAGTTGATGAAAAATAGTATGTTTGAAAGTTTTTTATTTCTTTTTTTTAATTTTTTATCTTTTAAAAGTTGTTTTTGAAAAAATATTTTTGAAAGTGTGGCTGAGAAAACCTATATGGAAGCTTATGACACCTTTCCAGCCACTATTTGGAGTAATTGGAGGGCAAAAATGATACTTGTTTTAAAGACAACAAATTTGATGATAAAATACTTTGATACAAAATCAATCAATCTGCTATTTTTGGCGCACAATTTCACAGAGTAAAATGGTGGAAAACCATAGGCGAGCATGAAGGATCCTGGTTTTCCAGATAAAACTAAAGAGTTATATGTAATATCTAAGGAGCTGCTGTTTATCTTTTTCCTGAACAATATTGCCAACAGTTTGTAAATAGTAGTAGTTCCAGCTTCTCAATTAAGAAAACTATTATAAATTTGACAACATAAGAATGTTCATGCATAGGTGAGTTGGAAGATATGCCTAATATGTAAATGTGAATATTTGGGAAGAAGTTAATATTATATAAAAAAAAAAACTGCATTGATGATAAGATCGATCTTTTTAAGTTCTGCAATAATGTTTCTCAGAACATCATAGATCTGTGATACATTTGGTCGGCTTCCACCAAAGTGAGAGGATGTGTGGATACATCCTACTAATATTCTATAAGTTTCTCAAAATTCACGATAAACTCTTGCTTTAGATATACAAAATGCTCACATTTCTCTACTGCCATAACAATCATAACAATAGAGCAGGAATATTGAAGTAAGAAATATTTCTTTATCCTTCCAGGATTTAAGAAACTTTCTATCTTACAAACGAAAGAGAAGAGAATATTTCAAAATATACCGGACAAAGATAGACACTTATACCTTCAACAGCAGGAAGGTTTGTAATGAAAGTTGCCAATGCTGGTGACACCGATTTCAATATATCATCAGCTCTTTTGTAATTTCCAGAATCAATAGAGTTGGAGAAAGTTGGAAGTTCTGTAAAACTCAGAAACTTTTTCACTTCAGAATAGAGAATCTATTTTGTAAGAAAAAAATTCTTTTTATTGATAAAATTTGCATTCTTTCAACAGTTTAAAGTGATAGACTAATCCATTTAATTTCCAAAACAAATAATACATTAAGCTAATGACTATTGGGAGTTTACTGTAGGCACATGGTTTAGCTTCGCCTATCCTGTACCCAACTGTATTTACAACTTTACTTAATCTGTTCTATATATACACTTGTAACCATGTTCACAAGATAATAAGCCTTCTTCTTTAATATTCCCTGTTCTCTGTTTCTTCTTGCCGACATTCCCTGGCTCTCTTACATGGTATCAAGAGCTAGTTATGGGGGATCAAGAATCTACATCCTCCCTCCCTCCCGCTTCCTCCATGTTAGCCGGACCGCCTGCAGAGCTCGTCATTCCGGCGTCACTCAAATTCATCATTTCGAACATCAAGAATCTGATCCCGTATTCCCTCACCACCGACAACTATGCTCTCTGGAGAACTCAAATCTTTCAACACCTCTCTGCCACCAGCTATGTCGATCATCTCAACGGAAAAACCACCCCACCGCCTGACACTACTTCCTCCGAACACGCTTGGTGGCGTCTAATTGATAATAACCTTATCTCTGCTCTCTTCTCTACGATCTCTCCCGCGATCTTACCTTATGTCATAACCTTCACGACAGCTCAAGAGGTATGGACTGTTCTTGAACGACGACTACAATCGTCCAGCAGTTCTCATGTTATACAACTCAAGAACGAGCTACATCACATCCAAATGAATAACCTCACGATGCAACAATACTTGGCTCAAGTCAAAAACATAGTGGACAATATTGCGGCGTCTGGGACCAAGATCGATCCGGAAGATATTGTTCTTTACATACTGAATGGCCTCCCGGCAAGCTACAACTCATTCAAAACTTACATATGATCTTCTTCCCTGCCCGCTGACCTCGACGCACTCTACTCGCTCCTCTGCAGCGAGGAAATCCACATTAATCAAGATATCAAGAAAGATCAATCCACAACCACGTCTGCCTACTAAACCACATCTTACAATCAGACTCGCAACAAGAATCCAAAACGTTCTTTCAAATACCGAAACAACAATACCAGGACATCTGCATCGGCCGAACAATCCCACGTTCTTCCTCCTGCTCCCAACAATCGTCCAATCTGCCAAATCTGCGGCAAGATTGGTCATATAGCTATCAATTGTTGGCACCGATGTAACCTCAACTATGCTCCCACTACCTCCGACGCTCACCGGGCTCTTTTTGCTCAATCAACTCCGACGGCCAATAAAACTTGGGTTATGGACTCCGGCACCTCCACACATATGACGTCTGATTGCTCGACCATCCAATACCCGTCCGCTTATCAGAGGTCAGACTCAGTCTCGGTTGCTAATGGATCAACAATTCCGATTCAAAATTATGGCCAAGGTTTGCTACCTCTACTAGATACCCCGCGTAAGCTTCTTATATGTAACCTTCTAAACGTTCATTCTCTCACTCATAATCTCCTATCTGTTTCAAAGCTAACTACGGATAATTCTGCATCTATTACCTTCGACTCTAACGGCTTTGAAATTAAGGATCTACAGGATCATCAACTCCTTCGTGGACGCCTAATTAACGGCATCTATCAGCTCATCCTTGCACCGGACAAGTGACCAAAAGCTCTTCAAGCAAGCACGACGTCTACTTCTACCTGGCATGCCTGTCTCGACCACCCAAACAACAAAATATTCAATACCTTAGCTCACTGTATTTCAAATTTTAAAAACATCTCTTCTGACTTTCAATGCAATTCTTGTAACATGGCTAAAAGCCATAAACATTCCTTTAATAAAAGACATTATGCTACCTCCTATCCGTTTGAGCTCATCCACTCGGACGTCTGGGGGCCTGCACCACATCTTTAATCGATTGACACTATTACGTTGTTTTCATCAATGATTTCACACGATTTTCCTGGTTATATTTTATGAACTCCAAGCATGAAACATTTACAAGATTTCAATCGTTCTATAGTCTCATTCAAAACCAGTTCTCAGCCACTCCTAAGCAATTCCGCTCCGACGGTGGCGGATAATTCACAAGCACTGAGTTCACCTACTTCCTCAACAAGCACGACATTCTGCATCAACTGAGTTGTCCACGTACACCTGAACAAAATGGGATGTCTGAGCGAAAGCACCGGCATCTTCTCGATCTTACCCAGACACTTCTGCACGCCTCCAACCTTCCCGACATATTTTGGGCAGATGCCGTTTCAACGGCGAACTACCTCATGAACCGTCTCCCCTCAAAGTTTATAGCACTCAAATCTCCCTACCAAATGCTACATAACACTATACCAGACTACTCCAACCTACGGACTTTTGGCTGCCTCTGTTACCCATAGCTTCAACCCTATACCAACAACAAATTCTCCCCTCAATCTCACCCTTGCCTCTTTCTAGGCTACTCCCCAAATCACAAGGGATACAAATGCTATAATCTAGCCACTCACAAAGTCTACATATCGAGACACATCGTGTTCCACGAACAAACGTTCCCGCTACACAATCCTACCTCCAATACAGCGAATTCACAACTCAACAAAATCGCTCATCCTCCACTCTTACTTGTACCAACTTCAGTCATACCCCACCCGCCCATACCGACCAAAAATGTTCCCATCGATTCCTCTCCGTCAAACAACAAGCACAAACTGAAATCAACATATTCCAACCCCTGCGTCCAGCACTCCAGCTCCACCTCGGAACCCCTCACGGACCCTGCACCACCATATCACCCGATGCAAACTCCTTCAAAATCCGGCATTACCAAACCAAAACACATCATCTCTCTTCTCAACAACGCTGCTCCTACCACACCAACAACCTACAAGCAAGCAGCTAAACTAGCACACTGGCAAGCAGCAATGGATGTCGAATACCAAGCTCTGAAGCAGCAAGGGACGTGGTCCCTCGTTCCTAAACCGACAAACAAACGCATCCTCGGATGCAAATGGACATACAAAACAAAGCTGCTACCCTACGACAAAGTCGACCGATACAAGGCTCGTCTCGTCGCTCTTGGCTATGAACAAATCTTTGGTGAAAACTACAACGAAACCTTCAGCCCAGTTGCAAAGATGCCCACAATCCGCTTGCTTCTCACCTTAGCCATCAACCACAATTGGACAATGCTTCAGCTCGACGTCTCGAACGCCTTCCTCCACGGCGAACTCCCGAATGACATCTACATGCGTCAACCGCTCGGATTTGAGGATCCTCACCAACCGGATGTTGTCTGCAAACTACATAAATCTCTTTACGGACTTAAACAGATGCCACGACAATGGTTTCAGAAATTTACCACATTTCTGCAGTCCCGTGGTTTTGGGTTTAACCACTCCGACCCCTCTCTTCTCATTTATACAAAACAAAACATTCACGTTTATCTATTAATTTACGTGGACGACATTCTTGTTATACATGCAATGATTCCTCATACATTCAGACCCTTCTCAAAGATCTTTAATCACAATTCGCACTCAAACAACTCGGGTTGATTTCCCTTTTTCTCGGTATACAGGTCTGCCGAACTACCACATGATTCTTTCTCAACCAGGGACACTACGCTTCCAAGCTTCTACAGGAAGCTGGCTTCATCGATATCAAGGCCGCTCCTACACCCATTACTCGGGGTCCAAACATCATATGCACAACAATCTGTCATTCCATGATCCGTCCCTGTATCGACGTCTAGCCGACTCGCTTCAATACCTCTCCACCACGCGACCGGACATCACATTCGCCACAAATCAGGCTTGCCAACACATGCAGAATCCGACAGTCTGTGACTTCCAAAACCTCAAAAGAATTCTACGCTATATCAAAGGCACATTATCCTTCGGATTACCTATCACGCCCGGCGACACAACACTTCGCACTTACACCGATACTGACTGAGCTTCAGATACCACATATCGCAAGTCCGTACTCGGATACTGTACATTCTTGGGACCAAATCTCATATCATGGTCTGTCAAGAAACAAATTACAGTTGCCAAATCTTCCACAGAGGCCGAGTACAGAGCTTTATCTGCGGCCACGTTCGAAGTCATCTGGCTTCGTCGCCTAGCTTCCGAACTACAACTCGAACAAAGCTCTCCAACGACCATTCATTGCGACAACATCTCGGCAATTGCCATAGCCAAGAACCCAGTCTTCCATGCTCGGACAAAACATATCAAAATAGACTATCAATTTATACGTCAACACATTTCGTCCGGAAACATCAGCATACAACATATCTCCTCTCAAGATCAAATTGCAGACATTCTAACTAAACCGCTTTCATGTACTCGCTTTGATCACCTTCGCTTCAAATTAACCATTCAATCACATAATGATTAATTTGAGGGAGGCTATAAGCACACGATTTAGCTTAGCCTATCCTGTACCCAACTGTATTTACAACTTTACTTAATTTGTTCTATATATACACTTGTAACCATGTTCACAAGATAATAAGAGATCACTTCTTCTGCCTTCTTTAATATTCCCTGTTCTCTGTTTCTTCTTGCCGACATTCCCCGGCTCTCTTACATTTACTCCAAAATTCATCTTTTCAGAATAGAAAACCCTTTGCACAGAAAAAACGTTAATTTTCTTATTAATTAAATTTGCATGCTTTCCAATCCTAATGTGATAGACTAATCCTTAAGGACTACTAATATAGAAACCTAGCTACTGTCTTTCTAGACACAAAGGTCGATACAAAATTGCTGCTTTGCCTGCTACCAAAACTCAACAATGTAAAATAAGGTAATCTTTCCAACCCCTTCCACTTCTTTTTATTTGCAACATCTTATAAGAATGTTCTAAGCTATTCAGTACAAAAAGCTAGATTGATGCAAATCCAAGCAAAAGCTAAACTGATGCAAATCTTAATGTTTAAACTCATAAAAAATGCATAGCAACGAGCAAATTGTCAATATGATTGTTGGTTTTATTTTAGTTGTCACTTTAGTAGTTTTAATTTTTTCTGATTTTCTATTGATACTCCCCGGCACAATGGAAAATGACGTCAAACAACTCATTTGGTCATGTTTTTAATTTTTAAAGAAAATTTTAACAAACTTTGGATATCTCCTGGGAAACTCTTTACATTTTTTTGGAAACATAATGACCATGGACACATTACACAAATGAGTAAAAGCCCAAAATAATCCCCCGACTATATTTAGTCTCAATTTACATGATGACCCAATTTATTTCCCCAACTATTAGAATCTGCCCCAATTTGGCCCCAATGCCAACAATTAGAGTTAGAATAACCCCAACAATTAAATATGAGAGTATTTAGGGTATATTAGTATATGTGATATAATATTATCTTTTGTTATTTATCATATTAAAATGAATATAAAAATCATAACGGATGTTAATGAACTAAATAACAAGAGTAAATAATTAATAAATGTAGTTAACTTCCATTTTGATTTTATATTTATTTTAATATGATAAATGATAAAATACATAAAAATAATAATATAATCTCACATACACTCTAATACCCACAATGACTTCACATTTACCTGTTAGGGTTAACTTTAACTATTACTTTTCACGTTGGGATTAAATTGAGACATTTTCTAATAGTCGGGGGACTAAATTGAGGCATTATGAAAGGTTGGGATTAAATTGAGCATTTACTAATAGTCGGGGGATTATTTTGGGCTTTTACTCTTACAAAAACTATAAAATTTTAATTATGATATCAACTATTTTTCACACCTGAGTAAGAATTTCAATGGCATACTAATCTAAAGACTATAGAACAATAAAAGTAATGAAAGGAATTTGATGAATGGTTACAATGTACAGTTGCAGTATTTGAGCCTTAACATTAAAAGAAACTTGCAGATTAAAAAAATTGCTAATTACTATTAATTGGTTACAATGGCAGGATTTTAATAACCAAAACATACATAAAACAAGAGGAAAGAAAAGGCTCATGTAATGTAGGATCATCGTAGACCTGCAAGACTTTGGCTAGACTCAAATGATTACTTGATTAAAGATGTTATTTAATGCTAAGAACATTATGATCTATATTTCTTTTGATTTTTCATGATATTTTGTAGTGTCTGGGCTGTTTGGCATTACTTTGGTTAGTAATTTAATGGTCTAGGTCTTCCTATGTAAAACCGTTATGATCAATTAAATCATGTAAATTGCTCTCAAGAGGACATAAGCCAAGTCCTTTCTAGAAGATCAATATGCTTCCTTAAGGATGATTTATGCTTTTTAGATTCAAGTGCACGCAAATCACCTTGAAGTTGTGTGAAATACTTCAAACTTTGTGTGACATAGTCATTAGGGCTAGATTACATTTTTTTATCAGAACTATTTTTTTTACATTCTTCTTAAGAAGGGTAGATTTGTAAATATGAGCATAATGGTCCTGAATAAGGGTCCTATTTAACCTCCCTTTCCTTTGGTAGAAGACAACTTTCAGTTACCTAGTATAGGGAAGGATTTTGGTGGAAGCTCTACCAATTAGAATTTTTATTTTTCTATTTTATATCTTACAGGGGGTTAGATTTGAATAAAGCTTTCTTTTGGATGTGATTTTATTTGAATATACCCATCATTAACAAAGAGCCCAAATGTATTTGGAACTTAATAAGACATTTTTATGATAGGACCCCCTTCCGTTATGATGGTTATAATTGCATTTTATTATGGGCCATGAACATGATATTAAGTGGAAACACCTCCGATCATGATATCCAATAATCTATTCAATCATCGAGGTTAGTAACTCGTAAGAATACACGAGATCCCTATGGCTAAAGTGCTTTATCTTTCATAACATAGAATGACCATGACATTAATGCAAATTGAGAGAAAGACATGCTTGATTTTATCTTTACACAAGGATTATTATGCTATGAGCTCTAATAACTCTATCATATGCTAATGACTGATCGGGGGATTGAGGTGAGACTTACAACTAAAAACTTTAAGGATGACCCAACTTAACTTTTACTTTAATTTTTATGTGAAGATAATTGTGGTAGGGGGGGCCTTATTCACTCTGCTTGATTGCTTATAGAGGATTGGACCTATGGTTTAAGTGCTTTATCTTTCATAACATAGAATGACCATGACATTAATGCAAATTGAGAGAAAGACATGCTTGGTTTTATCTTTACACAAGGATTATTATGCTATGAGCTCTAATAACTCTATCATATGCTAATGACTGATCGGGGGATTAGAGGTGAGACTTACAACTAAAAACTTTAAGGATGACCCAACTTAACTTTTACTTTAATTTTTATGTGAAGATAATTGTGGTAGGGGGGGCCTTATTCACTCTGCTTGATTGCTTATAGAGGATTGGACCCAATCAAAATTATGCATACATAGTACTTGAATATATTTCCCCAATATTAGATTTAACATGAATTGCATTGGGTGCTAGGACATACATCCCAAAAATTTGAGAAAGGTTCATAAGTTGAAACTTATGACTGCTGTATAAGAAGGGCAGCCCTCTTACAAGTTTATTCTACTTTTTGCATGATGCAATCATATTGGGAGTCATATCTACTGTGATCGTTTACTTGTATATATGAAGTTTTCTCAATTTTTTTTATTAATTTTCTTTTCTTCCTCTTTTTCTATTCACTTTTTTTTTTTTACTTTAAAAAGATTAAAAGCATTTATCGACATCTTAATTCGCTTAAACACACATAGATGCAACATAATGAGATGTTTGATTCAAAGAATGGGATGACTAGCAAGTTTTTTAAAGTGAAGTGATTTGAGTCCAACTTTTCTTGAAGAACATATGCCTTTCATGCATTTTTATGAGATGACTGAGATGGACCAACCGATTTGATTGGGAGGGAATTAGAAAGTTTCCTAATCAAGATGGAGCTATTTAAGAAGATTATTAATTAAAAGGGAATTGTTTAGGAATGTTTTAATTATAATTGAGAGGGAATTATTTAGGGCAAGAGATCTAATTTGAATTCAAAATCTAAAAGAGAATTATTTAGGGAAAAGGAGGAGGAATTAAGAAGGGATTGTTTGGAAAAGTTTTAATTACAATTATGAGGTAATTAATTAGTAAAATAAATCTAATTTGAATTCAAATATGAGAGGGAATTATTTACGGAAAGGGGGGTGATTTGGGAGGGAATTATGAGAGCTTATTTAAGGCTAACAATAGGGTGATTTCAGGATTATGTTTTGGAGTTTGCTGAATTTAATTTATTCTTAGGTTATTTGGGCTCTAGCCAATGGCTAGGGATTTGGGAGAGCTTGATCTGCCTCAATATTCATTAAAAGGTTTTTTTTTTAAAGAGTCATGTTCAACAAGAGTCCCTACTTAAGTGTTGCAAGCAATAGCAATTCAATATACATACAGATAATAAGAAATTATGTGCTCCATAAACGGTGTATTAATAATGCATACCATTAGTTTGTCTAGGATCATATATCACCATCCGAGAAGTGTCCGGGTAACTAATTTTTGCTGATTGTGAATAAACCTTACTCACTTGGCCCATGGAAACTTTAGCTGCACGCAATTCAATGTAAAGAAAGACCTTTTTCTGAGGTAAATCATCATTTCATTATAAAGTTATGCTATAAAGGGTTACCCAAAGCATTAGTCCCATTCAGAAGAAAAGACTTGTCAGCTTTCTTATCAATGGTTCTGGCAAGCCACTGCAATAAATGAAACCAATTGTGTGTTTACATTTAACAGTACATAAATTGATCATATGCTCGATCATTTGAGCATGGAAGCACATGGAAATGAATGCGAATGTCATTGCAGTTTACCAACAACTCATGACAACATAAGAAGCTTTAAATAAGTAGACTTGATAAGCAACACAATTCTTAAAATTCAATCAAGTTTGCGGGCAATTACATCATGAAACAATAAATCACAAAACCAGTATCTGAATTACGAACTTAATGGAGCTTACTGTATAAATAAAAGAACTATGAAATTTATTTAGATTAAAATTTGGCAAAGCAGCCGTTGATAATTTTCAACTTGGCCAGATAAGAGCACCAGGAGACCAACAGGAGCCAATTGGCACTGCATATGTGACAATGCAGCGAGTACGAGTGCGCCAAAGGTAAGTGGGATCGAGATGGAGATGCTGAGCAGAATCAGGACGGGCACGATGACTTTTGAGTGCATGCCTAACGTGAGAAGCGGAGGTGGCTAGGGCACCACGGTAGTGCAGGAGCTCCAAAGGGGACTCAACTTGAAGTTTAGCTGAAAGAAGAAATGAACAAATAGAGAATGCACGTCGAATTGAACAAATAGAGAATGCACGTCGAATTTTCTTTTAAGAATGAAATAAAAGTATGAGTATGGATATGATCATGACCACAGTTAAGAACCGAGATATGAATCACTATGTCAAAGCTCAGATCATAAAATTGAGAATGATTTGTATGTTTGCTAAAGGGATTTCTAGGGTTTTCAATATATAATATGCGTAGAAGAAAAAACTGAAAAGGATAGATACTCTTAAAAATAGGAATGTAGTAAACTAGAATTTAATAGATAGAGAAATCTGCAATAAAAAATAAAAGGATAAATATTTTAAGAATCCAAATTAGTAAATAAAGAACGGGTGAATTTGCATAGCTTAATAAAGTAAATATTTTATGACAAAAGAAGAAAGTGGTGAAATTTTGGAAATCAAGAGACCTAGCAAATTTTTATTATAAGAGTAATTTATAAGTTATGCTTGCTTTTAAAGTTCGTAAGTTGTTTGTATGGAAAGATACCGAGCGGTATCGAGTATGTACTTAGCGTTACCGAGCATGTATTGAATGGTACTGAGCATGTACATGCTCGGTGCCGAGCATGTACCTAGTGGTACCAAACATTGTTGTACCAAGCAGTACCGAGCATGTACCTAGAGATACCGAGCGATACCAAGCGGTACCGAGCAGACAAACCGATTGCCGAATCTTACTCAGTAGAATATGGTGGTCCTTATGGCAGAACGAACCGATCTTGTATTTCAAAATAAGGAGATGGATGGAACCGCGAAAAAAGCTTTCAGCGGTTGGTTGAAGGAGACTCCAACCCAACTCGCGGTAGAAGATAACTCCAAGCAATAGGCGAATAACAACTCACGGTGGAAGGAAGCCAACGCCGAACGAAAAGGGAAAAAAGGTCACTTGAAGAAGGGAGAAAACTTATTTTCAGGAAATGATGGAAGATCGCGCAAGGGTTGGGGGGGGGGGTCTCCGACCGAACAAATATATATTAGGTTAGCTTTTTTTATTATTTTTAAAGGCGGGCGCCTCTAAACCGTGAGGCGAGGCACGCCTCAGTAAACTTGAGACGTACTCCTCAAATCCTGAACTCATTGCGTGGGCTTTGAGGCTTAAAGAGGCGAAATTGCGCTGAGGCGCACCTCTTTTGCGCAATTTTAAACCATGTTCAATGAAGTTTTAAAAGTGAAGGAAAAGTTTTGCTAGCTCATTGGCGAACTGTTGAGCTTATTACAAGTCTCATGTAAGTTCATTTAGTATTCAATTTTCATTCTTATTTTGTAATTTTGATCTTTCATTTGGTTAAATTTATTTTGTTTAAGTTAGCCCTTCAATGTTTTGTTCTATATAAGTTCATTCAACCTGAAATTTTGTAGTCTCCTGACATCTTCCCCGCATAAAGGGTGTCTTTGAGAGTATCAAGCCTTCCCACAACGCATAAAAAATGAATGTTTGGTTTCATAAGAAACTGTGACAAGGAGGGGTTCTTCTATCACACCACTTCCAAAAAAATGTATAGTCTTTGTGTACTGCTTAAAACTCATAATGTTCTCCCACCAGTGAAGAAATGTGCACACAGGTACTTACATTTTCCTTGTCATTCTAAGAAAATTGCGCACATGGTCTACCCATCTACCCATTGCATCACGAAAATTGTAGACGAGTTTCCCCGACCGTGCTAACAAAAGCACACATGAATTTTGCTCGTTACACCCTACACATCACATTCGAAATTTTGGAGGGTTTCAAGTGTTTGCAAGATTACACCTTGGTGCATAGTGATGGCAATGATCGGACGAGTACGATATGTTTACCTTTTCTTTTCTTTTTTTCCTTTTCCTTTTCTATATATTTTTTTTCTTTTTTGTTTTCTTTTTTAGGATTTTTTGTTCTCTCTTTCTAGAGAGAAAGAGAGAGGTGAGAGTTATAAAGAGAATGAAAGAAGAGAGAATTAGAGAGATAGAGATAGAGGGAGACAAAGAGAGAAAGAGAGATTGAAAGAGAGAGAGGAAGAGATAAAGAAATAAGAGTGAGAGAGAGGGAAGAAGAGGGGAGTGGAAATGGGCTGAAGCAGTGGGGTGGCATGGTCAAACTGATGGTGGTTTGTCGCGACGCTACGGTATTGACGATTGAGTGGATCTGGGCGGCGACAAGGAGAGGCAAGTAGAAAAGGGAAAGAGGGAAGGAAGAAGGAAGAAGTGTCTGAGAGCAGGTCATGGGAAATGCTTGGACATGAGAGAATCTGGAGCAATGACATTTGCAAGAGATCGCATGGTGGAGATGCACAAGAAGAGAGTGAGAGTGAGAGAGAATATGAGGGTGTCAGTGCGGGAGAGAGTGCAAGAGAAGGGAGATCTGCAGCCTAGGAGAAGAGTTTGTGCATGGTATGGGAGTCCACATATGCGACATGGTTCACATACAGATAGGTAAGGTATTTATAATTATTTTTTGTTATATTTTTTTAGGTCAACAAGGCTCAAGTGGTTGATCACATTTTTTAATTAGAACATTATTCATTTGTCCTAAATGAAATGTATTTAATTGGTTTTTTATGATTTTTGTTCACTTATATGTGTGAGATAGTATTATTTTTATAAGAATTTTATTATAAATGGCTTTCCAACGACTTATCTCTTCTTAATGCAAGTAATCTCTCATATTGCTATGAACATCATATGTGTGTTTTCATATCATGTTTCAATTCCATGTGTAGACCCTATACCATATCGTTCAATTTTTATGCAAATAAATAATATATGTCGAGTTGAATGCAAAAGAAATAATGTATAGGAATGTTGACATATGCATGTTGAAAGATTGAGTCGCTCCCCTAGAGTATTAGCTAGGAAAACTTGTATTGTAAGCCCATTGCTTTGCATTTCATGATGTTTGGCAAAAGATTATTAATATTGATGTATCTTAATATCAAAAAAGTTTAGATGGTGCTCCTGTGATAGATATATTAAACATTTACCTTAAAGAATCCCATATGATTTAGAGGAGCTACTATTATGTATATTCTTAGTTATGATGAAAATAGTGTGGTTTTAGATGCTTTCTTTTAAGATATGCATTAAATATGGTAAATGTACTATTTAAGGATATCTTAAATGATACTACATGATTAAGTGATTCTTTTGTGAATTTTGTACATTAAGTTGGAAAAATAATTGTTTTAAATTATTATGAAAATTACTTTAGATTGTATATTAAGATCCAAATTTCTATCCAACTGTCTATTCCACCTTGATAACACCTAGAACAGGTAGTAACAGATAAATAAGGAAAAAAGGATGATTATGATTTTGATAAATTCATAAGAAGTATAAGACATGTATTATGTAAATTTGCTTAAACTCATATCTTTATATGTATGGCATAATTAATAATGGCATATTACACATCATTTTTTTAACATAGAGGGATCAGTGTCGCCTTGATACCATTTAGATGATAGCAGCAGTAGTTTAATTGGTTAGAGATTCTCAATCCTAGTCCGGTGGAAGCAATAGCACTACAATGGACAAACACTTAGGTTGTTCCAAGATATGCCATTTTACAGAAGCTAAAGGACCTATTTTTGCTGCAAATTGGTTGATGCATGTTGAGAAGATAATTGATGGCATGCTTTTCCCTGAGAAGAGAAAGGTGCCACTGTGCCATAATAATTCTCACTCATAAGGAAAGCAATTCAGAGTTTTTGTTTCTAAAATAAAGGCATTGTACTCTTTTTTTTAGTCTGGAAGAAAATGTTCAGCGCATGAAAGAATAAGAAAGTAGTATCCACATAAGGAAAGTACAACAAATGAGGAAGTTTGTTTTTGGAAATGCAAAACCCTAGCAAGGCCAAGTCTGGTAGCTCAAGGGCCAAACCAGCACTAAAAAGCTCACTATCCTTCTAACCAGCTCACAAGTCCTTTATAAAGGCAGTTCTGCACAAATATGGGTTTTGCTCTTGCCAGCATGCCAGCTAGTTTTTGCTATATGGTGGTATCTTTTTTTTACTTTCCATTATCCATGTCATCCAAAATCATCCACAAACAGCATAAAAACTAGCAATTGTGATTGCCTACTCACAGCGTTCACCATCAAAGTAGGCCACATAAATTTGACAATCCCGGCAGATGATTCAAGATGTCTATAGTTTGCTTATCATAAAACAAGAAAAATAAACAAGGGCGTAACATTCTGAAACTAGACTAGTATGTGAGAATTGAATACTGATCAGAGGCGTGGTGGGAAATTAGTACCTCTTGCCTTGCTAAATGATCTAATTCTTTGGACGAGCAAGGCCAAAGATCCATGAAGTTGTACCGAGAGACAACATCATGCAAAGTACTCTCCAATGTTGATGAATCTTCTTCACCTGCACCAGATAGAGCTTCTTTTCGCCTTTGCTCAACCTGGAACAGGAAAATGATGGAACACAATAAAAAATAAAGAATGATGTCAGAAATGCAGATTTTATACAAGATTTAGTGATAGATAAGATAAATTGGATTTGAAAGAGGATTACTCCTCAATCAGATAAACCAAAAGAAGCCACCGATAAGGACAAAAGAGAAATATTCTATTGATTGCTGGACTTCATAAACATGCTGAAAAATCCATTATGCTTTTCGTATTTGCAACCAACAACAGCAAAAAATTAAATAAAATAAAATCAATGGAACAAACAGTGATATCATAAGCATGCTTTTGAAGTAGAGCAGTTCAATCCGCCGCAGTGCACAAGCACAGTGAAGTACAACATGTGTGAGCACATTTCATACTCACAACTCACAAGCCCGAGTGGAGATTAGTTCATTTTGTTGATTCAAGGGCATATGGACGAAGAGAGTTCAGGTTTCATGGTCCTACTACAATACATAGAGGTTATGACTCTTCTCTTAGTCAAGCACTGACGCTGCATTCTCATTACTCATGCTCATGCCCTTCTTCACCTCATCATAGCCATTAACATTACACCATATGCTCAACAGACGATAGCATAACAAGAGATAGGAGATGAAAAAGATGAACGGACATAGCATTGCAGGAGCTGAGAGATGAAAATGACCTAATGAGAGGCAGTATAAAAACTAGAACAATCTAGAACACAACTCTCGATATCAAGCCTTTGTATTGTTTTAATTAACTTCTTATCTTTGACTCTTCATTCTTTTATACGAATTCTTGTTCAACTATTCATATTGATTCTTTTTAAAGGTACTCGAAAATATCTCTTTAGTTTAATTTTCATGTTGATTCCTAGTTGGTAATAGTTTTCCTTTTAAATAGCTTAGATCATTTTAAAATTATGAGTTGTAAGGACTTTTTTAAGTATCATATTCTATGTAATATTCTTTGCGATACATGCGGTTCAATTAACTAACGTGCACACTTTTTGTTCGCAGTGAACAACCCCTTCGAAGGATTGAAGATTTGTGCATTGACAAAAAAGGCAAAGTACTATGTGCCCATTTGAAGGAATGGAGAGTTTGTTTTTTGGGCGTCAATTAGTTAATTGATAAAGGCCCTAGAATTGTTGTGAAAGACCAAGGATTGAATCCTGCCTCCATTAAATTAGTATTTTTCACTCAAATTTCGAAAAAAAGGATGGTTTGTTTTTTCCATAAGTGTACGGTAAAGTTGCCAAATATGCACCGAGAAAAACACACTTTCCAGTGTAAACCCGGACAAAAAAAATAGAAATTGACATCTGCAAATGTAACATACAAGCAACTCACAACAGAAAAACAATACAGGACTCCAATTTTCCAGCAATACAGAGAAAAATAATAAAAAAATGTACCTTTAAAATGCTTGCCAGATCTCCATATGTCTGTTCGAATTTAGCAAATTGTTTCCAGACCTGTTTCACAAACTCAAATATGAGAAACACTTCCAGATTGATTTAGAGTAACTAGATTGTTAATTAAGATCCTTGAATATCAGAAGTCCAAACACATTTACATGTATTAAATTTAAAAAATATACTATTAGCCAACTTGATCTAATCCAGGTTCAACACAAAATTGACTTGAAATCAGACTTCTGGGTGCAACCACTGAAATTTAGCTCATGTCTTGACTTGTTTGGCTCAATCTGAGCCAAAAATTGATTCAATCTTTGAGCGATCTTCAATTTTCGAGCTAAAATGTCAGCCCTGTGTGCAACCAGTGAAACAACGAAAAAATGAATTTTCAATCACTGTTAAAACCAATGTACCTCTTCAGAATTTTCAGGGGGAAGCAGGCTTAGTGCACGTTCAAACAAGGCACGTACATTTCTATCATCATTTAGACGACACAAGAAATCTGCATATCTGTGAGTTAAAGTCAGATCTTATATATAATCTCTCTCTCTCTCTCTTTATATATAACACGAAAAGTTTACACTGATGGCAAGTCATGGGGAAAAACTTACTCAAGTATGTAACCAGGCTCATTCATGAACTTTTTTAAGCCTGCCTCAAAAACATTGTGTGCAAGCTGCAAAGCAAATACATGAACAAATTCAAAACGAATGGTATAGATTACTCTTGACAAATAGCGTGTTGACTAATTTAAAAATTAAAAAAAGAGAGAGAAGCAAAAAAAAAATTTTTTTTTTTTTTTTTTGAGCGTAGTAGTGTCTAAGGAATTTGATTACCAACCACGGTTGCCTGCCAACTATGGTTGCCTGCTCAAGGATCTCAAGTAGACTGAGGTGGTTAAATGTGAATTTTAATTTTATTGGATTTTGGGATTTACATCTATTAGAATACCCAGAAGCCTGTTTGGTTTGAGATTTGTAACATTGTTTAGTAGTTACTCAGAATTTTGAATTGAAGTGGGTCTTACGGCTTCTTCTAGAAGTAGCCCAGGTGTTTGAATTTGGGTCGGGACTTACAACTTCAATTGAAAGTAGCCTAAAAAATGGATCTTATGGCCTCTATTAGAAGTAGTCCACTGGTGGGTCTTACAACCTAGTCCTATAGGATAAGCTGCCCGTTAATTTGAATTTGATTGTTTGGGTTGTAGGTTTATTGCAATTTATTAATAATTTTCCTAAAATGTGGGTCTTAAGATTTCACTTAGATGTTGCTCGATAGCGGGTCTTACAACCTAACGCTATAGGCTAAGCTGCCCATTTATTTTGATTGACAAGTCTTACAACTCCCTTAGAAGTTGTCTGGAGGTTTAAATTGGAGTGAGACTTATGACTCTATTTAGGAGTTTCCCATTACAACCTAGCTCTAAAGTAAGGCTGCCAATTAATTTGAATTTAATTGTTTAGATATTAAGGTTATTGAAATTTATTTAAAAAATTTCCTAAAATACAAGTCTTACTACTTCACTTAGAAGTTGTCTGATAGCGAGTCTTACAACTTAACCTTATAAGCTAAGCTGCCTATTTGTTTTAGTTGACAGGTCTACGACTCCCTTAAAAGTTGCCTGTACGTTTAATTTCGAGTGAGACTTACGACTATATTTAGGATTTGCCCATTAACGAGTCTAACAACCTAGCTCGATAGCAAGGCTACCCAAGGATTTAATTATTTGGGTAGGTCTTACAGCTTCCCTTTGGAAGTTGCCTAAAAGTTGGTCTTACAATCTAATCTTTTAGATTAAGATGCCCATTGGTTTTGTGTATTTATTTCAGTGAATAGCAGTTGTTTGTTAGCTTGACACTAGATTATACTTTTCAGTTGTTTACTAATTCGATACTTACTAGCCAGCAGTTGTTGTGTGACACTAGTACTTCATTCTTTTTCTTTTTAGTTCCGTAGACTATACTAGTAGTTACTTTGTCAGTAGCATGTTCTACTTTATGTTTGTAGCTTAGCATAGCACTTGTTATTTTTTCTTCTTTAGCATTTATTTTGATATTGATTTAATTTTAATGCTAATTAATTTTATTTTCTTGTTGCAGGAGCTCGTGTTGATTCAGAGTTTTAAGGATTTGTAGTGTTTGAGAGTTTATGAGTTTTGTATTTGAGTTAGAGAGTTTGCAGAGCAGTTGTTTTTGTTTTGGTGTTTGAGAGTTGGAGAGTTTTGTAAAGGATTTGGAGAGCGGCACAGTTGTTTTTATCTTGTTTGAGAGTTAGGGAGTTTTGTACAGGATTTGGATGGCAAAGTGTTTGAGAGTTTCAGTGTTGAGTTGTACATGTTGATTAGTGAAAACTGCTCTTTCTTTTCTTTTTTTTTAATATTATTTAAACAAAACCCTCACTATTACAATGGCTCTTTCAACATTAAATAATTAACTGATTAATTTAATTAACAAATTAATTATTTTAAATTTTATCACTCTAAAATTTTAATTTTTTCTCTCAAATAATTAATTAATCAATTAACCAACTAAAATTAATTTTGATTAATTTAAAGATTTTAATTAATTAATTAATTTTAACCAACCAATTAATTTTGATTAATTAAATTTAATTAATTAATTTTCAATTAACTGATTATTTTTTATTAATTAATTAATCTTCATTAATCAATTTTTATTGAAAATTAATCAATTGATTAATAAAAATCCAAATTGCTCCAATAGAGAATTTCCCTACTCTCTTGAGGCATTTAGGCCGACTCCAAGCATCCCCTCCCCTAGCGAGGAGGTCGGGGCGGCACTTGCCGTTTATTTTTTTCCGGCTGGACCTAAGGTCGACGACACGAGGCCTTGATTTGAAACCATTCCATCCAGACCTAAGGTCAACGGCGAGAGGTCTCAAATTTAAAATTTTCCAAGTCAGATCTAAGGCCGACGACGCGATGGCTTGAATTTGAATGCCTATTTAGTGTGAAATTTGTTTAATTATACATAATTTGCACTTTAATTGTTTAGACTATTAACTAAGTTATTAATGTATGAATAAGACAATTTAAATCCATGTCTTTTAATTAGAGCTGAAACTCCACATACGCAACTTGGAGCACAAAGGGGCGGCGCTTGCCACACCTTGTAACTTGTCAAGATAGTATTCCCCAAACTAATGAGGCCATTCAGGTCAAACATCAATAACCTTGAAATATGAAGAATATTATAGTTTTTATATTCACCAACACCATTTTGTTAAGATAAAAAAACGAAATATAATAAATTCAAGTATTCTTAGTACCAAAAAAATTAATTAAAGTGAAAAATTAAACTAGTGTTAAATGATTACCACCTTTGTTTATACTAGGGTCGTGATGTTTATTTCACTTTCCTTAGCGCTAAGCAAATAGCCTCGTAGACCCAGGTTACATAGTAGTAACCAGTTTGATTAAGTTAATTTGATTTGTTGGAAGTTAATGAATTAATAATTATTTTATTAAATTAATTAGTTGTTGATTTTAAGAATAATATTAAGTTAGATTTTTCCTCAGCCGGATTGTGGCGTTGTCATAGTAGGCTCGAGGAATCAGGCTTCCTTAAGATACTTAACCCTGCAGCTCAAGGTAGTCCAGCCCTGTTGACCCTTTCCCGTAGCCAGCAAAGCAAAAACAAAAAAATGGAGTCAAATCTTACCTGCTCTGCTGAAGCACGTCGCACGACCTCCTCCCACGTCACATGTCGCTCCCACGATTGCCTGCATGACTCATTCGAGTCGTTAAAAGCTTGAAGCACCGAAGGCCTTGGGGTTGGTTCTGTCGTTGCCTCGCTCTCACGCCCGATTCCTCCCCTCCTGCTCTCCCGATCCCCTGCTCCAGGACGTCGACTCCCCTGCTTCTTCAGCCCGCAGAGAGAGAGAGAGAGAGAGAGAGAGAGAGAGAGAGAGAGAAACCAAACCCTACCTCCATTCTTGCTGTTTAACTTCATTCCCGCGACGACTTTCCTTCCCTGACGGGATCGGAAGTTACGACATCTTAATCGGAAGCAACAACTGGGAGCTCGTTCCCTGAGAAGATAACTTTCCTCCTCCCGTGCGCTTCTTCGGCCGAACCTCTGCCCGATCTCCTCACTTCTTCCGTCCTGAGAGAGAGAGAGAGAGAGAGAGAGAGAGAGAGAGAGAGAGAGGGTGAGGGATTTTCTTCTCCCTACCTGGAGCGGAAACCCGCCTTCCCTGTCCGACCTCCTACATCCAGCAAGTCGCAAGGCTCATATACCCGAACCACTCTGCCCGATCTCTCCTTTACCCAAGCTCCTCCTTTCCTGTCTCTCTGCCGCAAGCCACCCGTCCCCCTTAGCCAATCTAATTACTTAGGTATATGCTCATTATTATTGTTATGATCATAAGGTATGATAATGATAATAATAATAATAATAATAATGTTTATTATTATTATTATTATTATAAAAAAAAGAAGGAAGAAGAGAATGTGCTCCTCCCGCCTTGGTTCCCGTGCCCTCCGCCGCCAGTCCGCCGGTCCCGAAGGAATAATCCCTAAACTCAGATTTTCGTTCTCGATGTTGGCGGCGAACTAGCAAACCCACTACGCGCTCACGTAGCGTTGTGGGGAGGGAAGCTAGCCCGACGCCTACGACGAGGCGGACAAACGCCTAAGATTCTTTTCTCTTGGCTTGCAACGGGCCGACAAACCCCTTACGTGCTCACGTAGCATTGTAAGGAGGGAAACCGGCACAATGCTTGTGACGACATAAGAATCCCCCTTCAATTCTAGCAACGAGCCGGCAAGCCCCTTACGCGCTCAAGTAACGTTGTAAGGAGGGAAACCGGTACGACGCTTACGGCAAGGAGGATAAATTTTTTTAATATATATATATATAAGTACCCACGAACGCTCACGTAGTGCAAAGGGGGAAAATCTGTGTTTTTTCTAACTTGTGCTCCAAACCCTTAAACGCGCAAGTAGTGGGCGGGGATTTTAAATAAAATTTGCGACCGCGATGTCATTTTTGACACCTACCTGAAGCGCTCACGTAGCGTCGAAAGGAAGGTTGCCTCTTGGTTTTTCCCCTAAATGGTGGAGACGCCAGGAGGCTGCCAAAATTCAGACTGAAGATACCGTGGACTTGAGCAAAATTTGGGCCTATATGTGAACAAATTTTGGACAGAAAAGAACAAGCATTAGGACTCAAATGAACACGAATAGAGGACTTGAACCTAAATCACAACAAAATTTAAATGATTTCCAAAGATCAAATCCAAATAAAATGAAATCAAATTGGAGCTGAATTCAAATCATGAACAATCAACTTGAACTTGTACTCTGGATTCGAACATTAATGGCTTGAACAATTTGAATTCAAGCGAATACTTGAGTTGGACAGCAGGGGACCTGTACTCGAGCTTGTGGATTTGATAAAATTCAAATTTCAAAATGACACAAGAGTTAGCACAAATGACTAATGAAATATCTGAATTTAAATTAAACAAGTTAGAACTTAAACTTGAGCTGAATTTTAAGCAAGTTTGACTTGAGCTTTTCTAATTCAAACTCGAAGGAATAAGTGACCCGTACATGAGTTAGTTGCAAGCTTTGGCATGCATTAACTTGTATCGATCATCTCAATTGAGAGGCGAATGAATGAAGACATCAAGCTTAGCATGAACGAGGGATGA